TTATGATGTATTATTCTTTAATGTACTGTTATTTCTTTTTGGTAATATTTAAGAATTTTGCATACTTATTTATAAGGTGGAATAGGCTATAGTTTTCTGTTTGGGGTAATATTTTTCAGGTTTTTATATCAGTTTTGTATTCAATTCATTATTTTCCTAACTTTTCCATGCTTTGGAGTAGTTCAAATAACATTTGGATGATTTGATCTTTAAAAGTTTGGTAAAATTTCACTATAGAGCTACCTGTGGGAGAGATTATTTATGTATTTATTTTTAAAAATTTGTTCTGTTAGTACCTATAAGAAAATTAACAAACATTCTGTTTCCATATACTATTCTTTTCTCACTCCATTTTTGTAGTTGAAACTTATTTACATTGTAAGGACATATATTAAATACATATTATTCTACCACTTTATTATCTACCATCAGCACTACAGTTAAATATATTCAATGTCCTTATGGTGAACTTTCCCCAGTATTTCTCAGTTGTCTGAATTCATTTCCTATTTGATACTTTAGGAATATTTCTTGAGGTCTTGCATATTCATAGTCTCGTTTATGACATATATTTATACTTAGATTTAAGCTTAGCTAGATTTAAAATTTTGGCTTACATTGCCTTTGAGTATCTTAAATATACTACCCACAGTCTTCTGGCTTAAATTACTGTTGTTGAAAAGTCAGCCAATCTTACATTCCTTACCTTGTAAATAACTTGGCTTTTTTATCTGGAAGCCCAAAGGATATATGCACTTTCTTTAAGTCTCAATAGATTTTTTAAATGTATCTTGGTATTTATATGATTTTACTTATATGTGAAACCTGAAAAACAAAATAAATGAAAAACACAAAATAGAAATAAATTCATAGATATAGAGAACAAATTGATGGTCACTAGATGGGGAGGGGGGTATTTGGGAGGATGGGTGAAAAAGGTGAAAGCAATTAAGAAGTAAAAATTGCCACTTATAAAAATAGTCATGGGAATGTAAAGTATAGCATAGGGAATATAGTCAACAATATTGTAATAACTATGTATGGTGTCAGATGAGTACTAGATTTATTGGGGTGATAACTTTGTAAGGTATATAAATGTCTAATCACTATGTTGTACACCTGAACTAATACAATATTGTATGTCAACTACAATTGAAAAATAAATTAAAAAAATAAATTTTAAAAAAGTATCTTGGTATTAACCACTATAGGTTGGTTTTCACATGGTATACCTTTTCACAATGTAGATTCAAATTTTGTTTTATGTTTGGAAAGTTTTACTGAATCATGGTTTTTTTATATTTGTTTTGTTTCATTTCTTTGGTTTTCTTTTTAGGAATTAAATGTATACATGTGTTGAATCATTTTTACCAGTCTGCTAAATCTATCATCTTTAAAATTCTTTTTGTCATTTTTTCAATTCCATTTGATTTTCAAAGTGTTTTACTTTTCATTTTCTATTTCACTTACTATAATTTCATTGATGTCTATCAACTTTTTGTTCCATCTAGTTTAGTCTCTTGATCTTTTTCTTTTATTTTTAATTATTCATCGAGCTCTTTCCTTCTTTTAATACTACCCTAGTGGCTTTCCTCTCAGAACTTTGCATGGCTCATTCACTTCATTCGGTTCAAAAAGCATCATATCACAGACACCTCCCCTGAATATTCAATCAAAATAGTACTGCTGTATTTCCCCACACCTTGTCAATCACTTCTTTGTTTTTATTTATATACATTTTTGGTTTTCTTCACATGATAGCACTTACCATTACTTGAAAGCATATTTTTACTATCTTCCTCAATCAAATGTAAGCGCTGTGAATGCACTGGCTTTATGTATTTTTTTCACTCTTATATTTCCAGAGCCCAGATCCATGCATTGTCCACAATAGGTGCTACATAAATATTTGTTGATTAAATCTATGAAGCATTTCCCAATTATCATTTCTTGTAACTTGTTATATTAGTTTTGATTACCGTAAGTTCAAATTTATTACTCTACCTTTGCTTTTATATTTAAAAAGTTGTTTCCCAGCTTTATTCTATGCTGTTCTTCCAATGATTTCATTTTTAACTTTTACTCATTAATTCAGCTAGAATTCATTTTTGCTTATGGTGTGAGGAGAAATAACTTCATATTTACTCCCTCCCCCTGTTTCCCAGTGTACATTTATTAAATAACTTCTACTTGTTTAAAATATAACCTTTAATCCATAATAAGTATATGCACATCTAGAATATCCTTCATAAATTCCTCATATTGTTTTTACTTTAAATTTTAATAAATTTTTATGTAAACATTCTAGGCATACCTACTCTTATACATACTCTTATTTTATTGATAGAACTTCATTCTGCTAGCCATAGGGAAGTCATGGTTTATTACAGGATCTGAAATTAAATTAAAGCAATGTGCTTGGTCATGTAATGTGGCTGTCTCAAACAATATGCTTTTGAATGTCATCTATAATTGTTTCTATTATGTCTAAAACTCACAAGAAGTGTACATATATTGTGAGGAAAGCAGAGAGAAAGAGAAAACAAACCAGATTACAAAAGGAATTTCTAGTCATTTGACTTTGTCTGAGATATTTTATAATATTTTGACAAGAGCTTTATACTTACTTTCCCTCTGTCTTATGATTGGCTAAAATTACAGAACTATGTTAGAATTCACACCTAATGGGTTCAAGGCCGATGTATCCACACCCTCACTTTATAGCACCCTCTGTGCCCATTCACACAAATATTCATTCATTCTAAGAAACATCTGTATTTCATAATACAAGTTCAGAGCAGGATTTTGCCCTCAGGGTTTACTATCTAACAATGAAATCCATGTATTTAGTTTTCTAACCAAACTAATGCTTTCTCATTCAAGAGATGCACTTGTGCATCTGCTATTTATTTGGTATGCTTTCCCCCCCTCTGTTACTCACTTCACAGTTTTGGTTTAGCAAATAAATAGATTGGGTGAAATGAGAAAAATTACATAGACCAAAACAGTAGGGAAGTGCTAAATTGTCATCAAATAGCCAAGTGTTGAGTTTATAAAAGAAAGGTATAGTTTGATACTCCAGCCACTTTTTGCTGGATCTTTCTAAGATTGCCATAATTTTGTTTCTAGCAGACAAATTTCTTTGATCTATATGGAATCAAAGTAATTTATGTCATCAGAATTCAAATAAAATTGACAATATTTTATTTAAATAAAGTCATTAATAAAGAACAAACTATTGACTGACTATGCCAGTGTGTTATATACTGTGGTTTAAAAGTTATATAAGATGTAATATTTTAATATAAAATCATGACTATCAAGGAAGCACTAATTTTTAAAAAGGATGAGCTACCAGAAAAAAAGGCCAAGTTCTAAAATTCCATATTCTGTCCCAATTGCCTTCTGAACTTCCTTTACTTTGTATATGTGTAAAATCAACTGCTTACAATTGTGGTACTCTCAATACCAAAGTTATGTAGAGTGGGAAATAACATAAGGTAATCATTCTAAATTTTTTATACTATAACTCACCAAAGGGGGGAAAAACACCCCCAAGAAATTCAAGTTTTCAGTCAGATGTATTCTAGATCATTGTTGCCTAGCTTGTTTCACAACTTGATAAACCTAAATTGTCAGACAATCTATCAATAGAGGTAGAGACTTGAAAGGAACAGAAAGGAAAGAGGAGAAAACCAGATAGATGATAGAGATAGAGATAGAGATGAGATGAGAGAGGTAGAGAGAGAGCGAGAGCGAGAGCGAGAGCGAGAGAGAGAGCGAGAGCGAGAGCGAGAGCGAGAGGGAGAGCGAGAGGGAGAGCGAGAGGGAGAGAGGGAGGGAGAGGTTGCTCAACAGGATAAACCTATACTCGGGGAATGACTGACTTAGAAAAATCTTTACATTTAAAAATTATTTTTTTACAAGTTCTTACCTTTTTGCCTTCTTGCATTTCTCTACCCGTGCCCTAAACTATTCCTTTTCAGATTTAATCCTCTATTCTCTCTCTTCCCTGCTTCTGCCCACCATCTCAAATGCTACTTGGTCATTCAGTGACACCCAGGAGTGGCGGTTTGGGAATGCAAAGCTTCTGCACCCTCACTGATCCTGGTGTCCCTCTCAGACAGAATGACTTTCCAACCTAACTCTCCTCAGCTAGGACCAAACAGATGGCTCTATACATTTAAGGTCAACTAAAACATGCTGTGAAAATACACCCAACAAACTTACCCATAATATCATGTGGGAACCCACTAACCATACTTACTTCATCTACTTCACTGCTTTGAAGTGGACTATCACCTTCGATTCTTTTAGTTACGTCTTGCTTTTTTTTAACTTAAAGTTAAGGTATGTGTGAAATGGCAAACAAAACAAAAATAACAAAACATGTGTGGATATACATAACTTTAAAATTGTAATTAGCTTTCATTACTGTAACTTCTGGAAAACAGCAGGAAGGGCTCTGAAACTGAAGGTCAAGATGCTGAGAAACACAGCCCTTGTCCCAATCAGGATACTGAGCATAGACTAAGTATGTATACTTACAGGCAGCCAGTAGTTTACAATAGTTCATTTTAATATTTTTAGAAAACGGTTAAATGACCAATCCCTAAAGATACAGCATTTCCCCCTTTCTTTGCCCAGGAATCTGTTTTGGAAGCCAATTCAATGATTACTACTAGGACATGGAATTTTGATATCCATTTGGTACTGATTTACACCAGCATTTTTAACACTGCCAACAAAAAAGTCCAGAATTTCAGGCAGCCAAAATTCCACAAGAGACAACTGTCTTTTATTTTATAGCTTATGAATTTGGGGCTTAATATGATTTTCCACTAACAAGTTCTGTACCCCCTCCAGAGTGCTAAAGCCGGTGTGTAGATCAGCAAAGTAAAACACAACATATGAGGCAAGTTAATATTAAACTTGAAGGAAAACTGTACAAATTGTATTGTTTACTTAGGAAAAAAAGCACTCTAGTTGAAAGGGCGGACATATGATTTATTGCAAACACTTAACCAGCAAGTTCACATTTTTACTCTCTACCCCACTTGTAGCATTTGTTTGGTGGTGGTGTGGCATTGGATACAGTATTAATAAAGTCATCAATTAAAAATCTGCTAGGCTCCAAATACTTCATGCCGTCTGTTTTTATTAAATGCCTAGAAAAAAAATGCCGAATCATGTCCAGAATGAGTAATAAATCACAGGCAAATAACTTAAGGAAGAGTTAGATGATGGATAACTCTTTAAGCATAAGTAAATAACCTGTTTAATTAAAAACAAGAAAACGTTCTTGGTTTTCAAGAAATAATTCTGTTGCAAAACAAAACTTCCATATAGAATTAGGAAAAAACAATCAGTATAAAATTTCTTTGTATGCTCAAAGTAATCTTTTGAAGGGAGTCAAAGAGAGAATAAATATTAGAACACTGAAATGATTAAATGACTTTTTTTTTTTACAAAAACCATGAAATCTTCTTCTCCAGATGCCATGACAAAAAAGGAGAGACATGCATCACCCTTTAATAGTTAAGTGTTCCGTGCCCAAACGACTTTCCCGAGGATTCCAGGCTTGTCCAAATCCCTTCATGTTTTATACAATTTCTAATGTGGTTTTATACACTTGTTCTCAATTTAAGAGTCAGAAAAGATATATAATTGGTGAAATCAGCATAGGAAACCTTAGAATTATTTACGTACAAAAGTAGATATCAAACACAACATCCTGCAATGTTTTTTCAGTAAAGAGAAATGAGTTATCTCACATAATTTTACAGATGAGGTCTATTGAAAAAAAACCATAAAGGAAATATTTCTATAACAGAAGGCGACACTAGCCACTAAGCAAACCATACTAGATGCCCATTGGAATCCTAAACTCTTATTCCAAAGACTGGCCATGTTGCCTACCATGGATGAATTCTGGACCACCATCATTGGGATGTCCACTGCTTTCCTGGAATGGATAAGAATCTTTAACTCACCAGAGAGAATATAGCATTATATGTGAGACCACACAACACCACTATATTTCTGAAACAGCCGTACAAAACAAAGTTATTTTAACTGTGTTGCCAAACTGCTCTATCTAATTACAGTTAAAGCTAAACAAGGGTATGAACAAATGGAAAAAAAGGCTTCTGACATACACCCTTCACTTTATAGTAGAAATATTTATGTAAAAAAATCTCCATTTAAAAATATATTGCTAAATTACTATATAAAATTATTAGCTAATAACATAATTTTATCTATGCAAACTCTTAAAACTGACATTGAGTGGATAAATTATTTCTCACCAAAAGTTACTATATCTAGAAGAAAATAAAATGAATACCTACGAATTAATCTTCAAACTTTAATGTCTGTGCCCATACTATGTTACAAGACAGCGCATTAAAACAAAAATCATCATTCTATTAATATTTGTAAAGAGGGCCCAGGAAACATGTCTTAGGTGACAGCCAACCATGTTCTTACTGTTTTTATCAATCCTGTACCTCTGTCAAAAACAAACATTCCTAGTTCATTTAATCAGGACTTATTTTCTTATTTGGCACCGAGTTATGACAAATTTCATTCTTAATTTCTCATTCAATTTCCAAAAGACACCACGTTAAAATTCAAATTATGGCTAAGCTCCACAAGGATGTCCAATGGGGAGAGTGGAGAAATGCATCGCTAAATACATCTTATCTACAGAAAATTGCTTCACTTTAAAACTTAAGTTTGTTCTTTCAATTTTACCCTCTGTTAGTTTCTGTCCTATACTCATTCTTAACCATCGCGCCACTCGGCCGGCCCCTATACTCATTCTTTAATCAGTCTTTACTAATTCCTTTTAGATGTAGCAGTTTAATCAGCAGTAATGTGACTGAGTGTACTATACCTGTACTTTATTTCCATATAAACGTGTTAGGAATCAGTGAAATTCATTGCGTCCTTTGGAAATTTAATCATACAGAAAACCATGTATGACAGAATATGTACTACTTAATATATACAAAAGAGTCCTGAGAGTAAAACATAAAGGCTAAAAGAGGGGATAACTCCTCATTAAGGCTGGAAGAAACTTGAGAAATTTAAATGAGGAAGTTCTAAAAACCCTGACTAAATTAAATCACTCACTTGTAGACAAAACACACCCAGTCTCGAGGAGATTGCTTAAGAATGTTCTGTTCAGTCATTTATGACCAATGGTGAGCAGATGCTTGACATCACAACCATTTTATACTTGAACTTCATCTTCTGCTTTAAGTTCAAGGCATGCATCACTTAGACGTGTTCCTAATAATTCTCCATTTGACAACAGCGGCATCAGGGCAGGGGTCTGTGAGGTCAGCAGGGAAAGAGATGGAGAGAAACTGGGAGTCATGGCTTCTGGCAGAGAATTGAGATGGTAGAGAAATGGGGAGTGTGGGTATTTTTGAAGTACTTGCCCTGGGGTCATGGCTGGCATTCTTGGTGGAACTGCTTTAATCCCCGGTTGTGCTACTGCTGTTATCAACGGTGGTGGAAAAACAAAAGATTTCCTCTCTTTGGGAATGCCAGGCATATGTAAGTGTTCATCCTTCAGTTTTGCAATATCATTAAATACTGAGGCAAGAGGCTGGAACTTGGGTTCCCAACTGAGGAGACAATCCCAGTGATAGTCGCCTCTCACCTCATGATCAGAGGTTCTCTGGGTTGAAAGAGCTGCACATCTTGCTTCCTGATCACCTGAAACAAAAACAGATTCTTTTCTGATCTCAGCCAGGATGCCCACTTTCACCTCTCTCTTCTTCAGTGTCTGGGGTAACACATGATTTTGAACATAGCTTGTGCCACAACCCTCTCCTCCATGCCCTTCCTCAAATGTCTGGCTGGTTTCTGCTGTTTCGACAGGGACCACCACCACATCGGTCTCCCCAGACAAGCAGGAGAGCTGGTCCGAGTCCCTTGGGATTCCAGAGTCTGGCACCCTGGAGTCCCGGTCACTCAGAGCTGAGCCAGAGTCCTTTCTGTAAGGGTGCTCATTTATCCTCTGGATCTCCTTATCCTCGGCACTTTCTCCTTCTACAGAACAGTGGCCACTGGAGTTTGAGTGCCTGTACAGATTTACAACGTCCTTGTCCATGATGCTTATTAAACTCAGCCATTCTGGCATGGGGTCCACGGGCGTGGCCTCATTGCTGTGGTCATTAGTCTTTTGGAAGGGCTTGAGCAGGCTGGCATCCTTGGTCAGTCTCAAATCGATATCTAAGGATGATGACGTCTTCTTTTCTTCATAATTGTTTGCTGTGTCTTTTCGCTTATGTCTTAAAATCAGGACAATGAGAATGAAGACGAGTAAGAGGAACACTAAAAAGGAGACGGTGAGGCTGATTGAGAAGCTGCTAGCTGACATTGCCCAGTGTTTTCCTTCTGAGAACAAAGACACGTTCACAAAAACAGTACAAGATGTGAACCTGGAGTCCTGTTTGGGGCTATGAGCAATTATTTTCATTTCAATGGTGTCCTCTTTGCTGACTTGACTTCGTATTAAGGGAAGGGCTTTAGTCAAATAAATATTTCCATTCGTTTTATTTACCGAAAAGAAAGGAGATGGCATTTCAAGGGAGTAAAGAATAACACCATCGATACCGGCATCTGCGTCTGATGCTTCCACTCTGCCAATCACCTGTCTTATGTTATTCTTCTCTGGGAAGTTGAAAAAATATTGATCTTGAGTGAAAATGGGTTCAAACTCATCAATCCCTTCAATATCCACCCAAACCGTTAAGGAGGCTGTTGAGTCACCTTTGTCTTTTGCCTGAACTGTGAGGCAGTATTTATTGTCATTTTCGTAGTCAAGGGTGTGCTGAGCACGAATATCCCCTGTCAGCGGGTCAATGAGGAAGGGGTCACGATCCTGAGGCACCCCGTGAGTGCTAGAACAAGGGGATATGATAGAATAGGTCAGTTCTCCATAAGGGCCTGCATCAAAATCCAAAGCAGTCACAGAACATATGGTGGAGAAAACAGGCAGATTTTCAGGAACAACGCAGTTCAAGCTGGAGAACATAAACTGAGGTGCATGATCATTATCATCTAGGACATTGACAAACACAACTGCAAAAGAAAAATGTTTCTTTTCTTCATCTGAAGCTTGGATAGTTAAAGTGAATTTTATTGTTTCTTCGTAATCAAGAGGTTTAATCAAGTAAAGAACTCCAGTTTTCTGTTCTAAGTGAAAATGCCCCTTCTCGTTTCCAGTGATTATGTGGTAGATGACGTCTGCATGTGAACCCATATCACAGTCACTGGCTGAGACCACAGTGATGTGGCTCCCTAGGGGGGTACTTTCCTTGACATGGGCATGATAGTTCAGACTGTTGAATTTAGGTGGATTATCATTGACATCAAGCACTTCTATTGACACAACTGCTGTGGAACTCAACGGAGGGCAGCCGTGGTCAGATGCCAGAATGACGAGCTTATGACTGGCAAAAGCTTCTCTGTCCAGATTGTGACGCAAGACCAGGTAACCAACTTGCTTATAAGGATATTCTGAATGAACGAAACTAGTTTCCACGTGGAAACTGTTCTGTGAATTACCACTGATGATGGAATATTCAACATGTGTGTTTTCATGGGTCCAGTCATGGTCAGTGGTTGAAAAGGTGACAAGCGTGCCTCCAACTCTAGCATCTTCACTCACGCTAAGGTTATAATATTCTACTACAAATTCAGGGGCATAATTGTTCATATCTTGTATTTCTATCTCCACTAAGGTAAGAGCCCTCAGGTCGGGAATTCCACCATCACTGGCTTCAACAAGAAACTGAAGTGTTGATTTTTTATCCAGAAGTAATACAGGATTGATAGTAAATACTGTGCCTGAAAAACACGACAAAACATTTCAATTAAATGTCATAAAATTGAAATTTCATGATCCATTTGGACAGTAAATATTTATGGAATATTTACTAATGTGTTTAGTTGTTAGATTTGTTACTTCAGTTACAACCAAGAGTAACTTCTAATAGAAAATTAACATTATTATATTTATACTTTTGTAACACTTAAGATCCAGAAATAATATTCATGGCATTCACTCTTTAAGTATGTATGCTTCTTGAGCATGACTCTGCCACAAATTTCTCTTAATCTTATTTTTATATAGTAAATTGTTCCATTTTAAAAGAAAATATATTCTTATTTGAAAAATGTATACCCCACTCTGCTACCCATAGACACATGGATAGTGAAATTTTAGCACACAGATATTTATTCTGGAAATACTATTTGACAACACTATAGCCAAATAAAAGCAGTAAGTCTGATAACGCAAAGTTACAACTGTGGCTTAGTTATACAGATGTTTTTTCTAAACCTCTTGGTTAATTCAGCGCATGGATTTTCCCCTTATTGATGAAATATATTTAATACGTTATAGTGTTTGAAATGTTGAAATATGTAGTTTTTATCAGCATGTACATAATGACATTTGTCTAAGATAAATGTGTCTTAAGTATGGTCGATAAAAAAGAATACAGAGTGCTATCATTTAAATGCCACAGTTCAGTTGGAGTCCCACTGTGAATTAAATTGACCCGATAACGTTTTATGTTTTAAAAATGTTCTAATCAATATCTCATTGCAAAGGTTGTTGATAACTTATGTCAAGCAAAAGCGCTGCTAAGACTGAGAGCTCAGAGGGACCACCTCCCACCTCCCTCACTGGGATCTGCTGTGGCCACGGCAGCAGGTCTCATCATCTGAGGCCACACATGCAAACACATGTACGTATGTATGTATGTGTATGTACATACGTACATAAAGGTAAAATAAAAAGAAAGAAAGAAGAGAGAAAGAGAGAAAGAAAGTGAGAGAGGCAGAGAGCAAACAAAAGGAAAGCCAAATTCCTGATGTGTTTACATCCATACCACAGTCATTTATCCACACATGTGGCCACATGACTTGCTTCTCCCCATTACAACACTCCATGGGCCTCATGCTGGTATTTCATGAGTTAATTCTCCTTTTAGATAATCCTAAGGTTAATTTTTTTTCAATTGAGATATCATTGATATATAACATTAGATTAGTTTCAGGTGTTCAATGTAACGATTCGATATACGTATATATTGCAAAATGATCACTGCAATAAGCCTAGGTAACATCCACCATCCTGAGGGTAATTTTAAAATCAGCTCTTGCTTGTGAAATGATGCCACGGTGGGCCCAGATGGGGAACACACAGAGCACTGTGTCCCAGGCTGTTCTTTTCTAGAGTGTGCTCTGTTAGGGACTGTGTTTTGCTAATTATTCATTTTTATCAAATTTACCTTTAATGTTTACTCACTGTTAAATGTTCTCTATACAATGCTCAACTGTTCTAATCTAAAATTACTTACCTGAACACATAATCACAGCCATGAATGTCTTGCTCTGATAAAAATACAGACAGCCTCAGAAGGCGTCAAATAAACCAGACCACCACAATGTTTTTACTTAGTAAAGATGCTCAAATAATTTTCTCTTTTTGATTTTTTTAGGGGGAGGGGTTCCTCATTGAATGTATGATGCTCTGACTAAATTTTTTGTGCTTGGGCTTGGATAAAAAGCTTCCAAGTTCTAGTAACATGAAGTCCTCAGTACTAAACTAATCTATTCGACTTCATCTGATTTTTGTTGAGGCCTGGGGTAACTACGGGAACGGTGCTTGGCTGGACTGATGGACTGAGTGTTTACTACATGGGGGTCTCTGAGCTGCTGCGCCTCTGCCAGCACTTAATCAATTCCTTTTGCTTCCCAGCCACGGAGATGTTGGAGAAGAGAAATAACACTGGGATTTGCTACCACCACATTTGATGTGAAGAGAAATAAGAAGGTGGTGTCTATAATTTAACCAGGGGCTGGGGATGGAGAGCTATTTTAGGAGCATTTGGAAAGGATTACTTCAGGTTTCCACCCTGTAACTCAAACCTATGTACGCTAAAGCCACTATAAATAACTCACCGTTCATAGGATCAATTGAGAATTCCTTAGGAGATGAAAGGGTTCTGTAAGAAATGTATTCGTTGCTTTCTACGTCCCTGGCTACCACGGTCAGCACGGAGTACCCCACGGGCACCGATTCAGGAATGGTGACCTGGGGGAAAAAGAGAGAGAAACAGACATTGTGCTTAAAGACGATAGCTGTTTTCATGAACAGAGCCAGAACATGAGATCATTTTCTTTATTTTGCTTAAGGAAAATACACAGAGAACCTGACTTTATTAGACATACCAATTTATAAAGTTGACATATTATAGAAGATTGTGTAGTGGTCTCAAGGTTCAGAAAAAAAATATTAAAAAAAAATTTAATTGTTTTGATTTTTATTATGAAAAATTTCCTTCCAAATTATTTCTGTGTGGTAGACGATAGTTATATATTATTACATTATGTAAATTGTATAATTCAGCAAGCCTTCATAGAAAATCATTACTTAGGTTAGTTTTCCTCCTGTGTTTACACAGTAACATTACATTTGCTATCTCCAAGAGTCCTAAAGGCCATTTCCAAGTACTTAGTTGAATGCTACTATTGTCCTTACTTCTACAAACATCTGCTATGCTCTAAAAACTAAAATTTCCACTTTACAGTTTTGTTCATGATTCGTTTCTGCAAAATGTTAGTCAATATGTTCCAAAAAATATGTCTCAGAAAGAAAAAGTTTTCCCATATGACTCGTAACTGCAGGTAATCCAAACTACCTTATTGTCTTGCCTATGGCTTTGAAAATATCAGGCAAGTTCCAATTGTTACAAACCATGGGTCCCCAATCCCTAAAAACTAGACAAATGGTGACATACTGTCATATGATGATGGAATACATACTTAACAAAACTGAATTGAATGAAATATTCAATTCCATATATACTTCTAGCCTCCATGATATGAAATATAAAACCCTCAGCATCCAGCTAAGCACTAAAACCAGTGAACACTGTATGCCTAAGTTAGTCTGCCAACAAGGGTAGGTATACATTATTCCTATTCTTTCTCGTTTTGCCTGTGTTTCAGCATCTCTTTAAGCTGTTTACCTGGTAAGAATCTTGAGAAAACACTGGTGGGTTATCATTGACATCCAACACACGGATGATGAGCGTTCCCTCTGTGAGGTGCACCGAATCAGAAATTTGGATAAGCAGCTCATATTCAGTAGTTTCTTCAAAATCCAGTGTTTTCACTAGCACCACTACTCCAGTGTTCTGATCAATAGCAAACTTGATTCCAGGGCTACTCTCTTTGGCGAAACGGAAGATGAAAGCTGAATTCAAATCCACATCATGAACTGATATCCGAGTCACAATTACACCAGGCAAAGAATCTGAAATAGTCATGACCAATGTCAGCCTCCATTAAAATTCATCCTTTGAAACACTTTTCTTTAGTAGTTCAATCCAAGCATTTTTATTTTAAGTCTAAAGTGATTTGCTGTTTCTTGGCATGATTTCTCATACAAAGCTCGTTATGAACTGAACAAAAACTTTGAAGAATTTATAAGCCCAATAAAAGTGAAAATTTACCGCTGAGTGGGGAATTGAGGAGGTAGGGTATATTCAATTTTTATATTACATTTTTAATTGTATGCTTACAGCACAATTCTGGGACCAAGAAACATTGCAACCCTTATTTGTTTCTGTATCAAAATAATATATTCATGGGAGATATAGGTGAGAAGAAGGTTATTACTCAAAACATTAATATGAAACATAAGATTTTGAAAAGTAAGCAAAACTGAAATGAAAATATTTGGATACTGAAGTTAGAAATAGATACTTAGTTCCTTGTACTTATTTTTGCAAAATTATTCTTTTGAGTGGCACATACACTTCTTCCTTCCTTTAAAATGTGACTCTCAAATGAACAAGAATGGAAGACAATGTATACATAGTACATATGATGAAAGCGAATCTGTAGTATTTTTCACCAAAAAAAAAAATAAATAAAAAAAATCACAAAATAGATGACATACCAAATGCCTCACACACTATAGGTGTTCTCGAGCTTAACTGCCATGAAAGGGGACTTTGTTTTTAAGCTTATATGTGTGGTACAGGTAGAAAAAAGATGCCAAGGTATTCAGAATAGTTCCAGTGTATATGAGATTCATAATTTTCATATTTCAAGCTTGAATATTCTTCATGTGCACCTACCCCAACTTACCCCATTCAATACATTGATTTATGCTGTTTGTTCTTATGCTCTTTATACTGCTGCATTTTGATGCTAATGCATGTGCTTTGGTATAGTATGTTCAGTAAATGCAAATGCAAATATATCAAATAGGTGGGAGGCAAAACTGAACAATCTTTTATTGGTAGAATATTTTAGAATATTTAGACTATTTGTAGGTATACTTATATACAGAAATTACTGAAACATATCCCTCTTGAGTGGTGATGGTTATAATTTGTGGACATAAAATGTTAGGAAAGCTTTAGGAATATGTTTGGTATTAAGAGTGAAAGGAGACAGGCTGGCCGAGTGGTTTGTTGGTTAAGAGTTGGCTTGGGAGGGCAAGCTCTGAGCAGCAGGGCCACTGGTTCAAATTCCACATGGGCCAGTGATGCTGCGCCCTCTACAGCTAAGATGGTGAACAACAGACCTGGAACTGGGCTGCCGTGAGTTGCGATAGAGGGTGTAGGCTTCAGTGGGGCTTCAGTGGGCTGCCATGAGCTACATGAGTGGCCAGTAGCCAGTGTGAGCAGCTGGCAGCCAGCGTGAGCTGCCGTGAGTCACCATGAGTGGCTGTCCAATGACCGGTGACTGACTGCCTCAGCCAGGAAAAGCGCAATGATAATACCAACGTGGGCCAGTGAAGCAAAGTCCTCCACAGCTAGACTGAAGAACAAAAGGACAGCAACTTATTTGCTCCCCTTCCCCGATTCCCCAATGCTGTTCCCTCCCCCAATTCCCCAATAAAAAATCTTAAAAAAAAAAAGAGTGAAAGGAGAGAGGCAAGTAAAAGGCCACCACTATTTGCACCTTCAACTATAAAGAGTTGGGTTGGGTTTTACCACTAGAACCATTGTCCACAGACAACTTTGGGAACATGCTCTAAGGTCATTTTATAACCCAGAGACCCAAATAATTAAGATTAATAAGCATATCACATAAAATGTTGTATTTCTAACTTTTACCATTAATGTGGTAAGATTTTTCTGCAAATGTTGAAGTTTAGTTTACTCAAGAGGGAAATGATGACTTTGTTTGATGACCATCCAATTCCCTTTACTTATTACTTGTCATTAGTATACTGTGAAGACTGACAAAATTCTCAGCCTAAGAAGATCGGTTCTTCTCAGAGAAGTTTAAGGATGATCATCACAGTGAGCAAAATATGCTTCTTCATAGACTTCATTTTTAAGAAATGTCTGTACACAAAAAGAACCTGTGTGGAATGGTGGTTTAATCATGGGGAATGGCCTCCAGCTGATCTGAATGAAATCCCAGCTTTCACATTGAACTTCTTTGACATTTGATATTTAACTTTTGACCATGCAGTCTCAATTCTATAAAATGAAGAAGAAAACTATCTATGTTGCATGATTGTTGAGGATTTGTACTCACAGTTAATATGGCGCCTGGCTGAAAAAAATGGAAAGATGATGTTATACAAGTTCATCACAACCACTTTTGTAAATTGCCACACTTACTTTCTGCTATTTCCACTGCTTCAAGGGGGAGAAAAACTGGGGCATTGTCATTTACATCAGCCACCTGTATCTTGACCACACTTGTACCAGAAAGCCTGGGGATCCCTTTATCCGTGGCTTGCACAGTCAAGCTGTTTTGGAAAAGAGTCAAGGAATGTTATCCATTGTCCAAAAAAATAAGAAAAACAACATAAATATCAAATTTCCAGTCCAAAAATTTAAAATGCGCTGACGAGCTACTTTAATTTCTCTTCCTGGCTTTTTCTAAATAGCATCACTTAAAATTTATTACAAAAGAATGGTAGCCTGAAACTTATTTATTTATTTTTGACATGTTTAGAGAAGCAAGTCCAGCAAGCTTCCAGGGGTCATGAAGCATTTATATCAAAACAAATGAACCATATCTGGGAGACATACTATCAAATTCAGTCCTTCTTTACTAAGAACAACCTAAGAGATACAAACACCAATGCCTGTTCTTTGGATAATCATGGCCTGGACACGCATGGCCTAGTTATTGTTACATATTTCCATTATACTATATCAACAAAAGATAGAGCCACTAAAAGATTGCTTTGTATTGATATTTTTTCAGACCCAAACTGCAAAACGGTCAAAATGGTAGAACTAAGAGAGGACAGTGCCATGATTAATATATGCACTAAAAATGCATGATTAGCTAGGACTGTAAAGTAGATGTAAGATCCATGAGCTGAAAGAATTCACGTGCAGTGATGCAACCTCTCTTGGATGATGGTACAATGAGCTTCTCTAGCAAGACACCATATTAGTGTCTTCAACTTCTCCCTTTCACCCTTACCAGCATCCAATTAATTATGAGTCTCACAGTTTTATCTCCTGAGTATCAATTGCCTCAGTTCTTGTCCATTTCAGCTGTACCTTCAGAGCCTCAGAAAGGCTGGTCAACCATCCTGTTTTGCCAGGGACTGATGAGTTTACTGGGACATGAGACTCCATTTTTTTTTTTTTAAACCAGGACAGTCCTGGGCAAACCAGGACAGGTTGGTCTCCGTAGCGTCATGCCCTCACCATCTTGATCTGGAATGCTGTATGTTCACTATATTCTTTCTCATCTGAGTACTTGTTTCTTTGCCAATCTTCCTACTGCAAGCCTCATGGCTCCTATCCATCTCCCACACTGTAGCTCAGTTGCTCTATCTAAACTCCTGATTTGAAAACTTGGCTCTTTTATGTAAAACCTTTCTTGGCTCTCCATGTTTACCAGAGGTAGTCCAAGCCTTAAGCACATACAACATGACCTTCCATGACCTGGTTTCTGCCTGGACTCCCCATCCCTACACACTCTTGGTCTTTCCAAGCTCATGTCTTTGGTCAGCATTCACTGACCTCTCGTCTGCTTGGGATGCCCCTTCTCTATCCCATAGCACCCTGTACATTCTTCTGCTATAGTAATCATCACCCTTTGTTCTTAATGCTTTCTTTGTCTGTCTCCCCAATCAGTTCCTTGAAAGCCAACGGGTTACCTTATTTGATTTTCTTTAATATAGGTTGAGTGGTATTTTCTCAAGATTTGTCCAGGATTATAAATGCATTATGTGACAGAGTCAGGGTTTGAGCCCACATCTTGGCTGCCTAGAAAGCTTGTGCTATACAATCCTCCTTCAACATGCCTCTCTTATTGTGTATTTATCACTCCCTAACATTAGCTTATTTTTCACTCCCCTCTAAACACTGGGAGATCCAGGAGGGTAGCTGAGTAATAAAGAGAGTTGTTAATCAGAAGATGATCTCTACTTCAGAAGTGGTATTAGTCTTAGCCTGTGGTGGATACTACCTTTGAAAAAAAAGAGTTTTGGAAGTTGACACACTTCTACTTTCTTTTCCGTTGTTCGCTTACCTGATAAGTGTTCTTTCTTTCCAACCTTAAATTTTAAAATGATGTAAAATAAGCATTAACTCTTCCTTGGTTTAAATGCCACTTAATAGTGATTGATTTCTGTTTATCTACCATTCATGAAGCACACAGGCTTCCTTCAACACTATCAGAGTTGGCACATCAGTATAACAACCACCTGAGTTTCACACTTCTGGAGCCTAGGGATAATTCCATGTGGAAAGTTTGTTTTGTTAGTATGAACATAAGTCAGATACATATGGAAATATTTTACTAAAAATAATCAACTCGTAATGTTCTGTGCCCCTGTTGCCTGCCCTTCCCCAATGTCATACTAAAGTCTCAGCCAAGACATCAAAGTTATGTCTTATTCTTCCACTATAGCCATAACCACCCTTATTTTCACAACATTACAACTTCAGGGGTTCTATGTAATGCCTATGTCAGGTTTAAAAAAAAGTGAGCCTCTTTGATATGGAGGAAAATATATGATCCCATTTCAAAACAAAAGGACAAGGAAAAGGTTTCTCAATAGCTTAAAGAACAAATGAAAAATTATAAAGGCAGATCCACTGAGATTCTACACACAACTTCTGTGAGACCTCAAGTTTCTTATGATGGCTCCTTGGCAGCCTTTGTGAAACTATTGATTGTAGCCAGTCCAACTGGCTCCATGTTCCAGAACTGCTACCCTGATGAGTATTATCAGCAGAGGCTATAAATGAGACTGGCCAGATTTAGAACAGGCCCATTTCAGTTCAGAGCCTTTTTCTTCTACTCTACCAGCCGTAGGAAGCTTCTTTTCCCATGTTAAACTTTAAAGGAGGCTTTGACCAGGTAGGATCTTTGCTGATTGCCTCAACAAATCCTGGAGATGTTGGTAGAAGATCTTTCAAAACTCTCAACAGTATCTGAAATGTCTACCAACAATGAACTATTCTTTCTGAAATTCTAAGAAAAAGATAATCAGCCAACATCAGCCACACCTCTGGAAAGAAGAGCTATGACGTCTGGTTATATCTCCAGAGTTTTATCTCCTCTCCCTTCTGAGCATCTACTATCATGAGAGCAAAAGAATTTAAAATAAGATATATGCCCATAAGCCTACAAAGAAAATGGGAGAAGATGTTAGTGGGTGAAGTGGGTGAGAAATGTCAACAAACTTCTGGAAAATGCAAGCAGATTTTGGAGTGGTTACTGGTGAATGGGTCAAAAGAAACCTTAGATTAGAATGTTTTTGGAGAGCGATAAGGATGAGTGAGAAAAAGATTTGTCCCCATGTAACCAAGGAGGCGCTCAAGACATGACAAATGGGACGGTGAGATACTGAGCCAAAAACAGTTTAAAGATTATTTTAAACTCAAAATACAGAACGATCAAATCCCTCTGCCCACTGCTCTTCACTGCCAGGCAAATGAATGCCTGATGATCATATTCAGAACAAGTAATATTGAGGGACTGTACTTGGAGAAATAAAAGCCCCTCCCCCCTCTGTACTCTCTGTACATTGTCATTTGCATGTCATCCTGCAAAATAGTTGGACTTCCTCTCTGGTTCATTTGAAAGTGAAGTGTGCAGATCAATGAGCTCCACCAGCCCACTCAGAGATTCTAGTGACTTAGCAGTTGCCTCCCTCAGAAAGCCTCCAAAGTGAAGAGAGCACAAAATAGACACAGAGAAGAAATGAACTTGAAAGAAACCAAGATCTTGAAAGAACAAAAGAAAATGTAGAAACAATTCTAATTAATGTCTTTGGAGAGATAGCAGAAGATAATGCATGCATAAATCAAGAACAAGAGGCTATGGAAAAGTTCAAAAATCAAGGAAGAACTTTAGGAAATAAAATATATATAACATCCAAAATGTTTTTTAACTAGAAAGCAAAAAAGAAAGTTTAGAATATTAAAATTAAGGCATTCTCTATGAAAACTAAAACAAAAATAAACCAACACACAAAACAAGAAGTGGAAAGTAGGAAATAAAATATTACCGACAAAGGATTGATCCAGGCATTGAAATGCTTGATTGAACAGGATCCAAGGAAAAGGAACAGGACAAAATAAGCAAACAATAAAAAAAAAAGAAAAAACAACAACAACCCAGAAGGAGAGGTAATTAACAATGAAATAATGTAAAAAAGTAAAAAGAAATATTTCTCCTTATTAAAAGAGCACACCAAGTCCTCAGCACAAGGAAAAACCCACATCACAGTATATACTCACAAAATTTCTAAACATTATGGGTAAAGAAAATAACCTGAGAGCTTCCACAGAGAAGGAAAAAAACAAATCATATACAAAACGTATAATTAGAATGGCACCAGACTTCTCAACAGAAACACTGGGTTTTAAAAGATAACAGAACAATGCCTCCAAAATTCTAAAAAAAGTTCAATTTCGATATTATCCACTGCATAATCACAGGAGAGGAGAATGAAGGCATTCTCCTTTTTAGATATGCAAGAACTCAGAGAATTGATTTCCCTGGCATCTTTTCCTACAAAGCTACTGGAAGAGAAAGCTAAGAAACAGAAAGACATGGGTCTAACTAGGAGAACAATAAAGCAAAGTTGTGAAATCATCAGCTTTGCTAAAGCCTTAGAGAGGCCAGTGAAGATTGGTAAGGCTAGATCAGGGGAACAGAAAGCAGCAGGACGAAGGTCTCCAAGGAACAAAGGGGACTTGATAGAACAGGAGATACATTTGGCAGAGGAAGATCGTGGGCATGACAGAACTACTGGGACATTTACAAGGAATTAAGTACATGGATATAGATAATCACTAATTTGGGGACAGAGGGAGGGTAAGAATGGAAATAGCATGACATGGCTCTGAAGTGAACATTTATAGAATCATATAATGTAAACACTGATCATTGAGTAAATGAAAAACAGTGTATGAATATAAAGAGAGGTTTGGATATGAGAAGGTAAAAATATTAAACCCACATGTATTATAACAGGAAGTGGAGAGATAATGTTTCAAACGATAAATTAAGATACATTGGTGTTTATAATACTGGAGAAAACCAGTTAAAAATGTCAGCCCTTAGTGGGCTTTAGTGCTGGGACAGCTGAGGCAATGGCAGCTGACTTTCATCGAAGTCTGTTGATGCTCTGATACTATTTGATTTCTTAAAAACATATTACTTTGATAACAATACAAACTTTTAAATAAGAAAATGTACTTAGACTCAAATCTTTATTCTTTATCTATCTATTGACTACTTTCTTTCTGCCCTGTAAACATGCTCAGG